AATTGAATTGAATTGAATTGAATTGAATTAAAAAGCAGGCTCTGGTAACAGGAGTGGAGTGTAGAGTGGACATTGTGTGGCTGTCTGTTCATAACCCTTTCACAACCAAATTAGTTGATTCTATATGCTTCTATTTTCTTTATCACAATAACTAATCGGTAGTTCTTCCTCTATCTGACTGGACCACTACAGTACTGGAAACAGAGTTATTATTGCAGCATATAGAGCTCAGTTTTTCCCGACATACAGCAGCCCGGTTTGATCATGTGAGATAATGATGCTGGGCTGCAGTTGAATGCAAACGGAAAAACTGCAAAAGATTTTAAAAAATGAAAAAACATAACAAACCCTTGTTGGTTTAAATAAAGGTTTGAACACACATGCAGCAGTTTTGACTTATTTAATCCTCTCAGCCACAGCACTGAATTATTGAAGGTGATTATGTCCTGTGTAAATCACTGCTCGGAAGGGTGACCCTGTCTCTATATTCTCATGTAGCTCACAGACGTGGACTCAAACATGTCGTATTCCTGAGCCACAGCCATCCTATGTAAAGTGTTGGGGGATAACTAGCAAGGTTTGACCTTTTTTATTGTTTTTTTAATCTACTGTGTTTGTGTTTGCTGCTTGACGTGTATGTCTTTAAAGAACAGAAAAGTTTAAAAAATGTTTAAAAGGTTGTTGTTGTTTTTTGTTGTTTGTTTGTTTCTTAAATCAAATGTATCTAGGATTATTTCTTCAAGTTGCAGTGACTGAAGACGTGATACAAGGCCCAACATTAGCTGATTTTTCCTTACTGTGGATGAAAGCAGGTTTTAAAAAAGAATAATGCAAACTAACATAAAGGGATCACAAAGTTAATTATGACTCGTATTATTTTTAAATGACACTTTTCACGTTGCAAAACACTGTTGAATAATTGATTTCTGTTCATTTTATCACACCAAGAATTCAATTCCACCAATATTGAGCAACAACTGGTTTGGGTAACAGCTGACTGGCGCCTAATTGCCCAGATTTCCATCTATGTCAAGCACACTGATTGATGCCTTAGCTTCCTTAGCAGCTACTCTGCCCCTGTGGATTCTAATTAAAACACGTCTGGAAGAAATGCCTGATTAGTTTTTGCCCTTTTTTTTAAATAAAGCAACAACTTTACCACCTGCAGCTAATCTGACTTCTCAATAGGTACCTTGATTCATCTGGATTTTCTTTAATTACGTTTATTGTCATTGAGTCTAACAAACCTAAAGCCAGTCTAAGCCTCCTTGTTAGTCCTGCATAGGAACTGAAGATTTTTTTAAACCTGCTGTTGCATAGCTCCACTTCTACTTAAAAACCTCTGCTTACGTCTGTAAGTGAGAAACAACCTTAAAAACGTCAGTGCAGGGGTTTAGCAAATCGAGTCAAGTCATTAGAGAGTGAGGTGAACTGGCAGATGGCCAACACCACTGGGTAACAATTGCAAATCAATTAATATCCCCTAACGGAGGTATCATGCCTCCAGCACAATGCCCACAGGGAAAATCAACTTGCTGATTACACAGCTAAAAACTGCTGCTGTAATAAGTATGCATGCCTCTGTGTGTGAATACTTGTGCGTCTCTACAATAACTAGAGATTCCACAGGTGTTTGTTTGTTTCCCAGCCCCGGCGGTCACACGTGCATTGCAGCAACAGGTCTGTATGTGCCTCAGTGCGAGAGTGCACTTTCACAACTCACTCAAAAGAGTCCTTAAAACTGAGATTATGCAGTAAAGATGATCATCAACTCTGAATTACAGGGTAGGTCTAAAGATGCACGCTAATCGATGAAGGAAGGAGAATGTCAGATCTGGTGTTAGATGTCAGGAACTGTATACTAAAGTTTCACATATCGACTGGTCTGAGACTTGTCTTTTCTTTCAGGTCCATCGATAAAGAGAAGAGAGGTCAGGGTTGGATGGAGAGGAGGGGCAGGAAGGGCTTAACTGTGGTTATTGTTAAATCCGAACTGCTGTAACTTAGCCAAAGCATGATGTCTGTTATAGCTACACTGCATGAGGCTGCTGTCATCTTTCATGTGTGGAAAACTCGTTAAGTGGCCCCTAAAATATATCCACCTCCCTCCCCCCTCCACTTAACCCTTCTTAACAAATGACAACTACAGATAAATACAGCACATAATTTAATATGGTTTCTATGACTTTGACCCATACATGCAAATGATTCATTCAGCATTAAAAAAACAAACAAAAACAAATGACTAGAGTAGAGCAGGATATAAAGAATGCTATCTCAGCGTCGATGTCTTTGTAATTCTTTAATAGCTGTCATGTAGCTGTCAATAGACCAATGAAGAATGAACTGTCCGTGGTGCTGAAACCACCACCCACATGTGCAGCCTGAGATAAGTATGCTAAATCCAAAAATAACAGGGCCCAAAAATTCACTTAGGTTTCTCTAATAGAGTTTAAAAGTCTTAATCTGACTCCTTTTTTTAATGTTTGAACCTGAAAAGGTTGTTACAAGGTTTAACTTCACTTTTACAAGTGAAGTCATAAATCAATCTCCATCAGAAAAAGCTGACATGACTGTTAAACTGTGCTGTATCCATGTGCTGTTGACTTGTCCTAAAGTAAAATACATTTTTGCAGAGTTCGCATGCTACACTTTTAGACAGCATTATGCACAGTGACCCACAAGATAACAAGTGACGCCTAATCGTGAAAAGAATCACATGTGTTAAACAGCAGTTTTTTTGATCTGCTTACTCTCACTTACACCCCATGAAGCAACGATAATGATCATCTTGGTGGTGATGGTATCCATTACTTGTTTGGATATCGTTTAAAGGGGACCCAAAAAAAATATTTTCCGTTGATAATAATGGATTAAGATGACATTGTGGCAATCGGGGCAACACTTGTCTTACAGACTGAACACACACCTGAACACACACATCATCGTGCTGTTCTGACTGTCATCAAACTAGCTTCTCAGGCTCCTGGGTAACATCCACCCTGTGGTGAGTTCCTCCTTGAAACAAACTGTTGGGGAAGGTGGCTCGCTGCGACACAGATGCACGCACGGATACACTTACATAGGCTACATACATACACACACACACATACACCGCCACCCCTCTCCTCATCCCCTGTTGCTATGGAACCTGTCGCCAAGGAAGAGGTATGTGGTGGTGTTGGAGGTGGTGGATGAAGTCGACGACGACCACGATAATGATGATGGTCAGGAGGGTGATAATAGTGATCGGATAAATAAGGGTTAGCTGAATTGTATGGTTCGGCTGGCCATAGGCGAATGCATTGCTGGGCTTTGCTCTCTGCAACGTGGGTGGAAGGAGCGACGCGTAATACTGCGCAATGCAAACAGAGCCTTTCCACAGTACAACAGAGCACGGCACAGGATTTCAATCCACTCTTTGCCCGCGGATTCCCGTAAACACTTGAAAACTCCTTAAGGTTGAACTTTGGGTCGTGTTTTGTGCAAAACAATCTACTGTCCTCGCTGCCATCCCAAAAATAGCACACCATCAACCCAATTCTCAGCAGACAAATAAGTCCTACAGGCCCTCCTACTGCCACCTGTCATCTCTGCGATTTTCTTTCGTGCTGCCATCAAGGAGCCTTAAGAAAACTGAAAACTTGCTTTTAAAATGTGAAAAATAAAACTAGTGATTAGGAGAAAGGGGATCGATAGTGGTCGAGCTCGTTGGCAAGCGCCTTACGCCGAGTTGTGAAGTATCGTCAACATTCTGTATCTGCAGTTTAGTGTAGTTGTGCAAAATGCTGTCAGATGTTTCTTGAACAATAATATACACCGCCTACAACTGCCTGTTGGCTAAATATGACCACTGCCCACCCATTGTGCCACAGAGCTCACAGAGTTCCGGCCTGTCAAACCCACAAGCGTGGACGAAATCAAGCAAGGAAAAAAGGCCTCATCCGTATCTGTTCGCGGCTACCTGCAGCCTTCTGTTGCGTGATCATGGCACAAGTTCACTTGCTGCACAAAGTGCTGCGGGCCTGCGGGGAAAAATCAAATAGACAAACTGCACACACAGAGGGGAAGTGGAGAAAAGAGAGCTGCATCTGTCCATCTGTTGAAAATGAGTGAAGAGCTACCACCCCCTTTCCCCCCTCCTTCCCTCCACCTCCTCCTTTCCCCATCCCATCCCCATTTCTAGACCACATCATAGGCTACCTACTCCCTCCCTCCTTCCCTCATGCACAGTTAGATGTTTGTTAGTTACAAATAAAAAAGGCACCACATACCTTGATGGTTCTCAAGGGTGTCCTCCGGGATGTACATGTTTTTGCTTTCATTTACCATAAATGTAGTCCGGCGTTATCCCTATAGGTAAATGGAAGAGAGAGAGGGGGAAAAGCTGGAGAGGAAAATAACAAGAGGGGGGGAAAGCCCCCAAAAAATAAAGAAATTAAAGAAGAGGGGAGGAAAGAAGAAATAACTGTCTGACACGGACAGTTTTGGGTATTCCGTTGTTTTTGTTTATGGGGAGGGTTTCTTCCGATGGAGTGAATATTACCTAATCCCCATGATGGAGGTGAAGGCGAGAAAAAAGAGGGAGCTTTCGGCGGAACCGGCTGGGAAAACGCACCGGTGCATCCCTCGGTACATCCGGGCCCTAGGCAAGAAACATGAGACCAGCACCGCGTTCAATTCAATTCACACCTCTCTCTCTCTCTTTCTCTTTCTTCCTCCCCTCTCTCGTGTTTTTAATAAATGTATACAAAAAAGAAAGAAAGAAAGCAATTGAAAATGTTATAAAGAACGGGCGCTGTCAGTGACGGTCGCAATGGAAGTGCGCAAAAGACGCATTCGGGCGCATCTTCAACAGCGTGTCAAAATGTGAGAGAATGAAGCACGGGAGGTGGAAGTGATGGATGAAGAAAAGGAGGAGGAAGAGAAGAGGAGAAAAATTAGAAAATGAGAAGAGCGTAAATATTCCATCACGGGAAGCACGGGGTTAAATCTCCCAAAAGGTTGTCGGTTATTCCACGAATCTTTAGCAGAGTCCCCCCAAAAAACAGAAGCCAGGCCGTCCTGTCTCATCCGGAGGCGGGTTTCTCTGTCTTGATCCAGTCCATGATGGTCCGGCAGTGTGTCTGTCAGTCAGTCTGTGTGCCTGTCTGCCTGTGTCTTACTGATTGGGAGTTAGAACTCTCTCTTCTCTCTGCCTCTGCTGCCTCTGCGGCTCAGCTCTGCAGTGATACCGAGAGAGAGAGTGAGAAAGAGAGAGAGAGAAAGAGAGAGAGCGAGAGGTAGCCCCCCTCCCAGTGCATGTAGACGCTTTGACTGTTTCCAGATGTGTGTGTGCCTGTGTGTGTGCCAGAGAGAGAGAGAGAGAGAGAGAGAGAGAGAGGAGAGAGCGAAAGAAGGAGGGAGACTGTATATGCAATAGTGTGGAACTGGCGGCTGGTATCCAGATGAGGATGAGGATGGTGAGGAGGAAGACAAAGATGATGATGATGAAGTGTGTGGGTGGTGAAAGGAGAGGAGGGCCCACAAAATGCAAAATATTTGGGAACAGAGGGCTCGATGAAAGAAAGGTGCTGAAACCTGTGAGAGTGTGTGTTGCAGACAGAAAGAGGGGGAGAGAGCATAGGGAAGAAGAAGGGGAAAGTGTGCCTGCATGTGTGAGAGAGAAGGGAAATAAAGCGGGATAATGATCCATGGCAGGCTTGAGCCCTACAAAGACTTTCATTTCTGCAGGAACAAACAGAGATCCGAGAAGTTATGTGTACATCTGATTTGTCCGTAGTGCCCACACATCTGGACTGTTTCAACCCCATTCTTTTCTTTGGCTAACGTTGTGTTTACACACACACCAAATATCTGTTTTTTCCAACTCTTTTATGACTCAAGCTCTGATCTTTTCGTGGCTCTCTTAAACAGGAAGAAACCGCAGGGAAGTTGATTTGTTAGATCCTCGGATGCTGTGCAAATGCAAACTCAAATCTCATAAAGTAGACGGGCTCAGGAAGGTCAATGCTCAAGGACTGACTGTGAACCTTTTTATCTAGAGGGCAATAAAATGATTTTGGGGGGGAATGTAATTATGTTTCTCTCGCGTTCTCTTTCTTTCTCTGTCTCTCTCTCGCTCTCCTTTGCTATCAGGACAGTGAAGCAGGCTTTGACATTGTGCTCCATGGCCAGAAACAAATTTGTCCTGGCCCCTGAGGCACGCAAAGCCATTTTCTGGAGACATGGGCTCACTTTCTTAGGTAACACAACAAAGAATTGAAGCTCATTTGAGAGTAAAATGTCAAACAAAGTCAACAACATCAGCTCTTAACTAAATAGCTTCTGACCAGGCTTCCATGGCACAGAGTCAGCTTCGCTTATAGCTCACAGAGGCGTTGGGATAGAGCTTCTTGCGCAAATAACATGTCAGTTCTTAAATTGAGCTGGCTTCTTAAAAGCTGTCCACAGGCAGCTTGATATAAAAAAGATAAAACGAGCTATCTCAGGCTTATAAAGAACCTTGAGTGTCTTTATTTAGCGAATAAATTCAGAAGACAAAAAACTGCATCTGAACATTTCAAATTAAAGGATGATCATTAGACATCGAATGTGCACGAAGGCCTTATAGAAACCTTCACAAACATAATACTTAGGTTCAATAATACATCCGAAAGTACTGAAGGTACTCTTGATTCTATTCATGGCACTGGCCAGCCCATGTAATTGTTTCTTGACACTGAATACAAACTTCACAATGTGCAGGCCTCATGTCATTCTCACTGCAGGCTATAATCAGGAGGTGAATCTGATGACTCAACCCAGCCTGTATTCATTTGTTCAGTGCCATAGCGCAAAATCACCACCCACCCATTCTGTAATAGAATAAAGCTTTTTGTCTACATGTGTCACTGCAGACATAGTAAAGACAGGGAGAAGAGTGATAAACGATTCTATTGATGACATCTGACAACTGAATTGTGTTTTTTAGAGGAATATATAGTGTTTTGTGAATCATATGTTATATTAATATACTGTATTTTGACGGAAATTGCAGACTGTTGAATGCCTGCGCTGGTGAATGAAATGAAATAATACCAGAATTTATTACAGAGGTTATTATAAAATAGCATCTCAGCAGTGAGTAAGAACTTTGTCTGCAGAAAACATATGCCTCAGTTGACTGTAATATCACCATATTATTCAAAAGTTAATACTCGTGTATAAGTAGAAATTTAGAATTTTAACAATGAAGCTGGTCAAGGTGGTGTGATTGGGTGGTTGCTCCTAGCCAACAGGCCAGCAACAGGGCCTCTCTAAAGAGTCACATGATAGAGATGCAATTCTAACTACGTTCACAGCAGAGATTTATTTATTTATGTCTGTTGAGAGTTAGCAGGCTAGAAAGTCGTATTTATACCAGTTTATTTAACATAAATGTCAAATAAACGTTATGGAGAAAAATATCTGCCTCTGAAATTCTCAAAAAGGTAGAAATCACTACAAAACAGCAAATTCCCACTGCTGTAGATGGCTGCTTGAACATTACTGCATTGGTTGTGTCACAGATGGACTGCGAGATGCATCTTATTCTTCATTTTTGAGCCAGACCAACTTCTGTTTGATTATGCTGGCCAGTGAATGGAAGACAGGAGGAAGGGAATGAGTGAGAGAAGGAAGAACGGATGGAGGGCAGGTCGTGGGAACAGACAATTCTGCCCAGGGGACGCACAAATATACATACACAAATGTCCTCAGTAATGCAGCCTGCACATGGAATACCAGTTCTATTTATGACTGTTCTATATTTATGGGCCCAGGCCCTTTGTATGTGCAAATGTGTGTGCAAGTCTAAAGCCCAGTTGGTCTCTGGGAATCTCTGTACAGGCAAACATTCAAACGCTAGTATCCCATGTGGGAAACCAACAACCTGCTGGTCAGTCAAAGGGGAATCCCCTGGTGAACAGAGAATAAAAAACTTTGGATGAAAGTTTTTATTTTTATTACCAATCAAAGAGAAAAAATGTATACTTTTAACATTGCTCTTTAAAAGAAGAAAAAAAAGCATCTGGTTTATTATCTCTTAATAACATTAATTTGTTTTATCTTAAAAAGAAAGAAAAGAAAATGGATACTGAGCTTGAGAGTCCCTTTCAGATAAACACAAACATTGGCCCCTTTTTCACTCATTTGTAGTCCATTCTTTGTACCAGACCATTTTCAGAGGAGTTGGGTTTTCTTTGTTTAGTTTAAGTCACTTAAAGTTGACCTATGAATCATTCATGCAAAACTTAGAAAAAAGAAAAAAACATGCACCAAACACAAGAGATGATCCAGTGCTGTGTTTACACATTCAGACTCCAAAGATAACAAGGCATAAAATAACCACTCTTTTTTTTTTTTTTTTAAACCAACAAGGTGATTCCCAAGAGTTGTTAGCTAGACATTTGTTATATCCCAGTATGGTCTTTAACAAATATGTGGAAACAGGACACACAGAGGACACAACAAGTGGAAGACCTAAACATGATTTAAAAAAGTATCGTGGAGTCATGTAAAAGAAAGAAATAGGGGAGAAAAAATCTGACACAAGACATGAAAGATGAAGAGCAACTTTGGGTTCTGTATCTTGCCCAAGGATATTTTGGCATGCAGACTGGAGAGTAGGGCTGCTCAATTAATCGAATTTTAATCACGATTACGATCTGGGCTTTC